GAATGATGCCAGCGGTTGTGGTCCAAAGCCTTAAACGTCGATCCAACGAAGAAATAATTGCAGAGGCTTAGACAACGTTGGACCACCAATCGAAATGATAATTTCAAAATGATACAAGAGCAAAAAACCAAAATACTAAAAATGGAAAAGATAACAATGAGAAGAAAAATACAATTTACCATCAACAAAGTACATTAATTGTATACATGTGACCACTTCACCATATGATAACATGAAAACTCAGTGAAATACTGGGTGGCGATCGATAATGTTAGCATGATCAATGCCCACTGCGCAGAAGAGTCCATTCTAACACTGAGGTGTATGGAGGCTGGCACAAAGTGAAATCCCATGTGAGGAAGTTTATGATATGTTCCTATAGGCAGCAATTTGGCAGGGTTCTTCCAAGGTCCTTATGCTCTACCAGAGGGGTAACAAGGACTAGGTGGATATAAAATCTATGTCCTACAAAGAAGATACAGAGTTCCCACAGGTGAACCCTTGTGATGTATACAGACCAGGATGCAACCAAAAACTACACTTTCAAATCACTATATATCAGACTGTATCAGCCATCCACTTTAGCCCACTACAATGTATGCGAGAGAGTAAAAATATTTCGTGGGTAGGGTCTGTATAGCACCATCGAAAGCCTGCGCTGTGCTTGTGGTCCATTTATGCTTCACTAGTGTTGACAAGATCTAGCACCATACATCGAAATCTAAAGGGTCAACTAAGAAATCTTGAGGTGGCCCTTGTATCCATTGGCTGATATAACTCATTGGGATGCCATCATGGTGTACCCGAGTGCTAGTTATCTACCATCTTTCGTTTTCCTAATTTCAAAAATTTTAGTATTTGGTTATAATGGCAGCAAAGGAGAATAATGGAACTTTCGTTTTGAACATACACGCACACTGCTGGAAAATAAACTTGCATTATCTAATCATGTGTGTGTGTGTAAGGATTAATAACATGTACTTAGAGTTCTATAAATACTCGTACAAATATTTGAGTTGAATTCATGAAAGTTATTTAGTTACTGTGTTTAGTTTAAAATACCTTTTTTTTTTTTTTTTTACTTGGCTATCATATTTCAATTATTATTGTAAGACCCGAATTGATTTGGCAAATCAATCTAGGAGGTGACATAAGCTGGATTTTATTAAAAGAAAAGTAAAAAGTAGAAGAGTTCATCTTAAGAACATAAGTTAAATTATGACCTTGTTAAAAAGGGTTAATTTTTTCATTTTTTTATTAAGTGTTATTTTATTTTAAAAAAATTGGTTAATCATCTAATAATAATAAAAAAAATTTATATAATTCCTACACATATACATGAACGAGATAAATCACTAGCATTAAACTGCCTTCTATCACTTTTTGGTTAGAAACAAGCAAGAAATGATAAGCTTGGAAAACAGTGGAGAGGAGTACGCAAGGAAGAAGGGGAATTTTTGGGATGTTTTGCGTTGTATTTTAACCTGTTTTAATATATTTTAAAAATATATTGGGTATAAAAAATAATAATTTCATTTTTTTAAATAGTTTTAATATGTTAATGTAAAAAATTAATTATATATATATAAAGAGAAAATGACACGTTGTCCCGTTAATAAAAAAGAAATCAATGGGTTAGGTGTGCTTGAATCGCTTACAGGCCTGACAGCTACTATCTAGCCAGATGCTAGACCTGACCATTTTACTGTATTTTTATTTTTCTATTTGGTTTATTATTGCTTCTAAAAAAAATGTCAGATTCCTTTATTCTTCTATGGGTTTTGTTATCAGCGGACCAGGCCTCATCCTTTTATGTATTTTTTATATATATAATTTTTTTTAAAAATTTTTTTATTAAGTTTATTCATTAAATTTTATTATGAATCTTAAATATTATTTTTTATTTTAATTTTGATAATTTGTTTTTAATTATTATGTATATTGTATATGATATGAAAATAACAATACTAGTAATAAAATATTCATGAAAATTAAAATTAAATTATTTTTTTAATCTTAAAATTTTTAAATAGATTTTAACATAATTTTACTATATTTATAATTTTTTTAACTTTCAATCACATATAAAATATGGACATGCTATCTTCTTAATGTATTTTATTAACTTGCTTTCAAAGTCATAATATATATATAGCCAACAATTCTAGTTATAAACATTACATTTACTAAGATGAAAGGGTTTTTCTTGATAAAAAAAATAAAAAATAAAATAATTATATTTTAATTTTAATAATAATATCAAATAATTATATAAAATCTTAACGTTTTTTTTTGTTTAATTGTTTTTTTGATATACCCATAACATATAGTATGGATCTACAACCTAGTATGCTCTATAAAACTAATAAATGCTTAATTTTTTATTAAAAAAATATACATTTAAAAAAATAAAAAACATAATCATTCTTTAAAAAATTAATGATATTTTATTATATTTAGCATTTATCATTTAATATTTTCTGCAACTAATTTTTTATGCTGAATTTCAATTTATCATTTTATATTTTTGTGTTTTTTTATTATGATTTTTTATTTTTTTAATAATATTTTATTATACCGATCAAAATATATTGTACCCATGTTCATTGAGAAGCCCACGTACATTCTAAAAAAAACACGCATCTTTTGGAAATTAATATATTTCTTTATTTTTTTTATTAGGTGAGGTAAATTTATTATTTTTATATTTTTGTGTGCTCTTAATCTATAATATTTTTATCTATTCATTTTTCTGACAATTAATTTTTTTATTTTTGAGTTGGTTGAACTTAAATTTACTATTTTATGTTATTACGTGTTTTCATTTATGACATCTCAGTGTCTTTTTTATATGATTTTATTATGTTGATGATGCACACAAAATTATCCAAGAATAATTCATATATCATTTTAATATTCTAATTAATCAATGGTTAATTAGTTTTGATTAGATTATATTGTTTCTACCTATGATGTATAAATAGATATTTTTTAAATTTAAAAACAAAGATAATAAAATAAATCTATCAAAATGTTAAGGCTCAATTAGTCAATTTTATAAACGAGTTTGAACAATCCATTATTTATCTTGAATAATCGAATCAATCCATGGATGTCCCAAGATTTATGCACATAGCGATACTAAAATCGCAAAGGCTTTCAGTATCCATAACTATCATCACAACTGTTCCTCTGACAAGCATATCGTTCCCACTAGAAAAGCAAGAAGTGTGAATTGAGAAACTTGACATGTCGAAAACCAATGATTTATACTATATGAAAATCTAATCTTTTATAATAATGTGAATAAAGATAGCCTATGGCGCTCCATAATTGTGATTCATCATACAGGTTTTCTACACAAGAATATTTTCTCTCCCCGACCATCAATCACTTAATTACCAACTTAATTATTGGGTTTTGTTTTTTTTTGGGTGCATTATAGTCGATCATGACACTGGAAGGTCTTCTTTTCAGTGACTGTCCACGCTTTGACCTCTCACCGAAAGTCATCATTCGAGCGTTTTATTGCAAATTTAATTGCGCCTAAGAATGTCATTATGCGGTGAAATGTAAGATGTTGTGAGATAAACAAACTCAATCAAGTGATGAAATTATAGCTTCTACCTTTTGAAATCGCTTTTGGTAATGTCATGTACGTCCGACTGCTTTGCATTTAGCAGGGACTATTTACATCCAACTCTACATGGCAATATATAGTGTTTTTGTGAACATTCAATCGTCCTAATATGACCATACTTGGGATCTCATTATTGGAAAAAAATCGATTAATTTGTGAGTGATGGTGTTTTCAAAGTCGGAGTTGTACAGCTCAATGGCTGTAAGAATTGAGATTTTCACTTTAAGGCTCAGATTCTAAGAAGGATTGGGAGATGAAACGAAATTTAAGGATAGGGAATGGCTACTTTCTATTGAAAACGATAGCTTTAAAAAATCCAAAAGTAATGCAATTTCATTAATAAAACCTATGGGGGAAGATAACTATCTAATAAAGTTAATAATGTAATTTAATCAAGCCTTGATAATTCAATGGCTAGAAAATAATTTAATAAAAATATATACTTAATTAAAATTCACTCAACCTTTTCTGCTGACGCAATTTTCATCATAATATATAGTAACCAACGCCGGCCTCCCATATGCTATCTTGTTTGACTGTGTATTTCATGGTGGTCTCTTACACAAAGGATATATATATATATATAAGACTAAACAGTCTGGTTTGGACTAATTTCCAGCTAATTTAATTAGAATATTACCCTTGAATGGATTGACTCCATACAGAACAAAAAAGAAATGGAAAAAGATAAACACTGTCTTCCTATAGATGGACGTTGGATGCATATGATTTGAGAAGGTGGATGGTATCTGATTAATTTATCAGTGAGGCTAGAAATTATTGAATTAGTCACACCAAATTACGCATCGTGTCATGTGTTCTATCTTTGACCCCGCCGATTTGAACCTAAATCCTATGACTAGCTTGGTAAGCTTTGTATCCGCCAATGAAATATAATTTTCAGTCAATCGTATGGTCATATCATTGACCAATGTATACAAACATCTATACAATTGGGCCATTTAGTATCGGAGACCATATATAAAAATATTTACGTGATAAAAAAAAGGTTCGATCATGATTATATGCCTTTATATTTGTACAGGTAATGGGAATTTGGGAATGTATTCCTTGCGAAAGAAGCAAAAAAAGGTTTGGTGTAAGAAAGGGAACATGGATGGGACCACAAACCTTCATTAAAATACGCAGACAACGAAAATGAAATGAATAAATATTGCCACCCAACTTGTTGGGTATTTCTCAGAATAGATAGATGACCCCCTACTGGTACAACCTTTTTCCTGTGTCTGGTTTATTATGTTAGAGAATGGGGTCTCCAACTAAATAAATATCTTTGAAAAACATGTCCTGATGATCTGCTAAATCTAAAAAACAAATAAATAATAAGTAAATTAAGGGAGAAAAAAAAAACAGAAGATTTTAGTCGTTGTTGGGGCACTTGGTCTCTTTTATATTGAAGGCTCAAGCCTTCCCTCAAACCACTTCTCTCTATATTACACACACACACAGACTGGGACTTCTATGGAGGTTTTTGTATGTTTTTACTGCAACTAGAGGAGGCATCCAAAGGGATCGCATTGATCCCAAGTGTCTGTCCCCCATAATTTTGGATCATGCTATCCCTTTGGATTCCTCCTTTGGTGGCTTCTATAACATTAATGGGTTTTAGTAGTGGTGATGCTCCACACACTCGCCCTTCTCATGCATCATCAACACCAACAAGTTTAGTATGGCTCACCGAGAAAACCAACCTTGTATTGAAGTTTGTTCAGACAGCCAATTTTATTATATCAACGTACAGAACTACAGATCAAGTAAGTCACATATATGCTTTTTTCATGTCTAAATCTGCTTTCTATTTCAAATCTGAGTACAACCATGCATGTAGCAGTTTTTCTTTGTTCCTTCAGTCTTTCTATATATATTGAAAGTTTGCACGACCAGTGCTCTGAATATATGGTCTTTTACTGGTAATTAACAAATCAATTTTCCTCTCATATTACATATTTGTGGAAGAGAGTTTGTCAAAATTGCTTTCAGCGACTAACTCTTACCTGATATCTTATATTTGTCTCTTTCTTTTAGTAACTCTAATTTCCAAGCTTCATTTGGTTAATCTAATTACACATTGAACTCATTTCTTTAGATTTTAAATGAAACCTCGCAATATTGCCACTTACAAACCATTGGATTAATCCAAACTCCAAATTTGGCACGACGCCAGTGGATCTGATTTTAATAAGGCTACATACTACTGTCTACTTGCCCCAGAAAAAAAGAAATGGACATTAGCTTCGAGAAAATTTCCAAGAGGGTAAGTATCTTCTTGTTATTGTTGCTTACAGTTGTCATGAATGTGATTTGGTAATTTTATAATACCCACATTTAGTCCTTCAAGATTAAATGGTAAACATGTAACCAAGGACGAATATTTATTCCTTCTTTCAAAACATGTGAGACGATAAATTTATTTGTTGTTCGAGGGAGTCTGTACCGATCTTCAATAGGTGTGGGGTTTTCTGGCGGAGCTCCTACGCAATCTCCAACCGAGAACTCTTGTTTTCAGTGAAAGAATTAGAAGTTAAGTTCTGGTGAAGGGAGAGTTTCTCTTGCAGTTCCATTACACGCATATGTACATTCAATCTCCTACAAACTGCGAGCTTCAATTAATTTGGTCCTTTTCATGAACAATCATCAACTTGATAACCAAGTGGAAGCTAGCTAATTGCAACAATACTGCAAATAAAACAGCGCCCCTCATATTGAAGATGATTCAATCAATTTCTACTCATAAAAATGATTTGGCAAGGATTTGCCCCCATTTCTTTAGATATTTCTTTTAATTTCTGATCATTACAAACTCCCAACAAATTGATTTCACCTTCTCAAAACGTTGACTTTTTCTCATAAACACCGACAGCTAACTGCAGGTTTGTACAACTTTCGAGAGGTTCTTGCTCAACCTAACTCCTATTGACATATTCTGCTGGCCTAAACCATATCTAAAAAGCTATGAAACATGGGTTAAAGTTCCTAAACCACCATATGGTATGGCCTTATGCCATGTGGCCCTGTATCAAGGTCCAAATCACATGGTTTGAGGACTTTAATTTGAATCCAAGGCAGTGAAAGATGATATATTAAAGGACTTCTTTTTACCACTTTGGGCCTCAGAATGTGTCCTAAAGGAAAATGAACCGTACGCATGTGATAAGACCTTAAAAAAGTCCTTTATATTTGCTCTAATTTTTTGTAGTGAAGGGTCTTTACGTGATCCCTCCTAGCACATGACGCCAACATTCTAGTAATGACTTACCATTTGATCTCTTTTGTCACATGGCCCCAACCTTTCTGTGTTAGGTCCCCTTTTTTATCACGAACTCCAAGCATTTACGGATCTCGAGCTCAAGCATTCAAGCACTAATACAAGGACAACTTTAATTTTAAATGAGAAAAACACCATCACTAACACATGCAATTGAACTTTTTCTCCAGACGTGGTTTCAATTTTGAATTTTTGATTATTCATATGGTTATTACCATGCTGGAGACTTATATGTTTGTTAATTTTAGAATCCGTGAGATTAATCATGATGTATGCAAATTAACACGAATATTCATATTAATCTAAAAAAAAAAATTGAGCTTTTTCTAGACATACTTAGCTCTCTTTTTTTTCTTTTTTTTACCATATACGGTCACATGATGGTGCATAAAATTAGAAAAGAAAGTCACCGGTTTGGGCTAGCCGCAAATGGTGCGGCTGCTCCATGTCTAATGGGTGTGATCCATGTCCGAAATGTATCCTTATTTTTTCTGTTTTATTATCGCGCTTATTGAATTTTTGAGTATTGAGAAGTCATATTATGATACCACGCACAGTCCATGCATACAATATTTATTATAGTTAACTAATATATTTTATTGATAAATCATTTACATGTACAAACTTTTATGGAGGTTGAGCATCACATTTTTTTAGTCAATAATTGACAATGCAAACATAAATCAATTCAGGTGTCTCTTTCTTGACAAATAGAGATTTCTTTATCAATGCATCACTAACATTCACTAATTACTCAAAATATACCGGTATCAGACACTACAATCAATAATGAAAACTGATATTTTCATCAACCAAACGAAATATAATTTTTCATATTTGAGATAAGCTGATATAGTTAAGATTTACACATGTTTTGGGTGACCAAGTAAACAGATAAGTTCGCAGAAGCAATATTCTTTTTTTAACAATTATTTTTTATATATTTTCTCTTGTATACTTATGGCTTAAATATCGAAGAGCTTCTCATCCCATGAGAGTTTGTTTTTCGGGTGAACATCCACCACTATTGAAGACCAACAACCCGACTCACCTATGTTTCAAGTTTAAATCCAATTTTGCATAGCATGAAAGCCTAATTTACGTGTGAAGTTTTCCCCGGATTATTACACGTATAGCTAGTGTTGCTTATTCTGGTATCTGTCAGTCCCAAATTATTAATTGATTAGATGTTTCAATATAATATCACAGTAGCAAAAGCGTTGTGCTCAATGCTTGTCCTATTTTATTCGTTTCGTTACTTTGATTCTTCTAAAAATTATCATGTTATTGTTTAATCAAGGATATGATTGGAGTTGCTGCTATCCTTCATCGACGTTGCCTGCAATTTTCTTTTCTTGGGCTCTTTAGTCCTTCTCTTTAAAAAAAATATTTAGGCAACATCTACAAGTTGGATTCACTATCCATCAGAGTTACAGAGCAAACAAGGGAATGGCTGAATGTAGTATTATGATTTACAAGTTTCTTTTGAATATATGGCTGGTTTGATACTCTAAAATTATGAGTAGCAAAGTATGTAATTACACGATTTTTTAAAACCTAAACCTGCTTTGCTATAAGCCAATCACTCTAGATCGGTGAAGGATTGGTTCAAAATCTTTATGTGTGTGCTCTGAAATAAGGTAAGCTTACTAGTAAACAGGTTTGCATCTTGATCTTAATGTATAGTAAAATAGAGACAAGCATAGGCTAAAGCATCACTCTAGATTAATGCTCCACTTGTGATAAAAGAGGTTTCCAGTAATTAAAAAATTTAATAAAAATAATATTACGAAGAAGTACTGGATCAACATATACATGCAAGTTGTGAACATTGGGAAACAAAAATATCCTGTTTGATTATGACACAGACACAAGAGCATGAGCAATAAATTATTTGCAGCTCATTAAAATAAATAATAAAAAAAAAAACAAGATTTCAGAAGTTTCCCGAATCTATGAGAAAGTTTGGCCAAGCACTTTGAGTTGTGTAATTGATTAATACAGTGGGGATGGGTCGTGATTCATGAAATGATATTGGTTTTAAATTCTAACAATGGAAGAGTCAAACTCTTCAACGAAATGAGCATCGAGTTGGAAACGTGCAAGATGAGGGGGGTCCTAGGGCTCAGATGTTTTTGATATATATTCAAGATATATTACCAAAGTTATGCAAGTGCTCCAACAAGATATATATTCTATTGTTATATTTGACTAATCATAATTACATAATTCTATATAATCACCCAAGAGTAATTACTCCCATTCCATTATTCCATTATAGAAGACAATTACTTCCAATCACATATTATAACATCACTTCTCAAGGTTGTCCAGATGACACACGCTCAACTTGTCAAGACAACTTACAGATATTTTGTTGGATGCTACTTTTATAAAGACATCAACGAGTTGAAATTCTGAATTTACATAAGAGAAATGGACAATACTCGCTTCAAGCTTTTCTTTAATGAAATTCCCATCAACTTCTATATTTTTTCTCTTGTTATGATGAATAAGATTGTGAGCAATTTTTACCATTAATGTATTATCTCAGAAAAGATTCATTGCTGTTCTTTAACATGTGTTAAATCACTAAGAGTTCATATAATTTTCTATAATTTTATTGATCAATGTTGCCGAGACACACACACACACACACACACACAAGAATATATATATATATTGCTAAGGTTATATTACTGTAACAACAAGATATGCTACTGTTATATCTGACTAATCATAATTACATAATTCTATCTCTAATAACGAAAGATAATTATTCCATTATAGAAGATAATTACTCCCCCTCCATCATAGGAGATAATTACTCCGAGTCACATATTCTGACAGGGAATGCACAAATTAAATGTCTTCAAATGTGAAATATGCAGCCTAAATGTCCCCTTCCTGGACTACACAAATTTTATGAAGGACATTCAAAAGAAAAACCCTAGATGTGAGTTTTTTTCCGAGTCCTCAAGGGAATCGGATACTCTTTGCCTGGGGACCCAAACCCCATTGACTTCCCTTCAAAAACTAGTGCTCCCTTACAATTTCTTTCCTTTGCACTTTGTGAAACTTGATTTATTGCCATGAATCACGTTATCGATTTGATTCAGAGATGTTAGAAGGTCACCTTTTTACATGTACTCGTCTTCTTCTTTTTTGTCGGAAGCGTGGAAGGATGTTGACACTGGTAATGATAAGACACCAGCTTTGTAAAATACAAGCGATTAACCCGATGTAAAGTTCAGATTAACGCTATGGTGTTTGCTTGCAAATAAATTAATTATTATTCACATTCTCATCCACATCAACCACACTTCGTTTACACCTTAAAAAGTCTCTATTAAACCATATTCTATCCTCTTAAATATATACCGTTACTATCATCAATATTCCATCCATCGATAGATGACGCACATCATCTGGCTCCTAATTAACCCTGGGAAGTCCTAACAACGCCGTCCAATGTCAATGCAACAATGTGCAAGACTTAAATAGCACGATAATTAGCTTAAACAGAGCGGCTAATTACTATGTTTTATTAAAAATAGGCTGCGCATGCCAGCTGAAGATGTTGGGTGCTGTGGGTGTAACATGTAAATCGCCAAATTTGTGGTGGGTTGCACTTTCGTTGGTGCAAAGAATCAAAAGATATTGCTGTATTTGACTAAACTGCTACCCTATACATCTGCCTCTTTAAGCTACTAGTGATGATTTTGTGGGAGCAAATTCAAGGTCCGAGCAACGTGAGCCCCCCTCTGTATCATTTTGCCTCCAACATTAAAATAGATTCAGATTCTATGAATTATAAATTTTAGCAATTGTCCTTGACACACAACCTCTCCACACCTTTTGTTCCCAAAAATACAAGATGCTTTCTATTTTCTGGGTGCTATAATCTGATTTTTATTGAAAGGGCACCATTGCATGTAGCTATTACCTGTGTGGATGCGAACTTGTGTTGAGCTCCAGGAGGATGCAGATCATGTAGCAATCTAATAACTTCATGCACACCTAAGTTACTGTCTAAGATTGTTTTAATATTATTTTTTAAAATATTATTTATTTCGAAATATATTAAAATAATATTATTATTATTATTATTATTAAAATTTTATTTTTAACATCAACACATTAAAAGAATCCAAAATCATAAATAAAAATTAATTTGAAGAAAAAAAATTAAAAAAATTAAAAACGCTTTTTAAATGTAAATTAAAAACACATTATAAGTTTTTATTCTTGTGTTACTCGCACCTAGTGGA